AAACCGGATTCTAATGTTAAGGATGTTTGGACTTTTGTGAATACTATTAAAAATACAATGGTTAATGACGATGACGTAATGATTTCCTTAGATGTTTGTTCGTTGTTTACAAATATTCCAAAAGATTTAGTTTTTTCTGCAATTGAGGGTCGTTGGAGTGACATAAGTCTAAAAACTAAATTTAATTTGCAACAGTTCCTATACGCTGTTGATGTAATACTTACTTCAACGAGTTTTCAATTTAACGAGCAGTATTATGAACAAATTTATGGAAGCCCTATGGGATCCCCTCTATCACCGATACTAGCTGACTTAGTAATGGATGACTTGGAAACAAATTGTTTAAATTCTTTAAGTTTTAAAGTTCAGACTTTTTATAGATATGTGGACGACATTTTTGTTATTTTACCTAACTCTAAAATAAATGAAATTTTAAGTACATTTAATAATTATCATGAACGTTTAAAATTCACACATGAAATAGAGACCAATTCTTCTATTAATTTTTTAAATTCTACAGTTATCCGCAATGGGAATAAATTGACAACTAATTGGTTTAGGAAACCTACATGTTCTGGCAGATACATCAATTTTCTTTCGAGTCATCCTATTAAGTACAAAATTAATACGATTTACAATTTAGTAGACCATGCAATTTTACTTTCTAACGAACAATTTCATAATACGAATATTGAGATTGTAAAGAACATTTTAATTAATAATTGTTTTCCGGATCATATTATTAATAAGTATGTAAATAAAAGAATTAATGTACTGAAGAACAACAGGAATGGTAACGGTCACAATGCGGATAATAACGACAGTTTGAGTAACGATTTAGATAATAACGTTAATGTGAATTCGGCTCAAGATAAGAATTATGTAATTCCACTCCCATACGTTAAAGACGTTAGCGACAGTATTAAAAGGTCACTTAATAGTGCTAACATAAATGTCGTTTATAGTTTGCCAAAAAAGTTGAATAGGCTGATAAAACGAGGTAAAGATTTAATAACTAATGATATTAAAACGAATGTAGTTTACAAGATTAACTGTGAAAATTGTAATGCATCATACATTGGACAAACAAAAAGACATTTATGCACTAGAGTGAAGGAACATGCCAGCAATATTAAATTACATGAGTCTAATCATTCGGTTTTGAGCAAACACAGATGTGATTTTGGGCATAACTTTGATTGGAAATCACCGACAATTTTACATAACGAGAAACATGTAAGAAAGAGAGAGATTGCTGAAATGTTCTTCATAAAGAAGCATGGCAATACAGTTAACCTACAGAAAGACACCGAGAATTTGACAAACATTTACGACAAAATAATAAAGATTGTTTAGTGGCGCGTTTCAAGTTTAGTCGTTGACGAAACATCATAACGATGGGACGTGTTCCTCTTTTAATTTTTAACTTTTAACATCATAACGATGGGACGTGTTCCTCTTTTAACGTTTAACTTTCGATTTCAAATAACACCGGTGTGATGTTATGTTAACCTCGGTTTAATTGATGGTATGTTTATAAAATTTATACTTATTTTATTAATTTAACACTTAAATGAGTTTTCGTATGTTAAAAAATATTGTGTAACATTATGTTGTAGAAATTTCACTTGAAAAGGACCACAACCAAATGGTCGAAACGTCGTGAAATAATCAAATAAAATTGCTAGTTACGTCGTAGTCAAGTCGTTTAAGCTTATTTTCACCACTAGCGACAAATATTAATTTTGATTGATATTAATTTTAATTTGATCGTTTTTTTTCAATTTTCTGAATAAAATTTGTTGAGTTGAGTTTTAAAAATCATTATTTAAGAATATGATTCGCAAATAAAGAATACTTACGGAACATCATTTTACTCAGCCGTGTGTCATATAATGTCTTGTGTGATGCAGGTTCATTTTCCGCATTTTCCGGTTCTTCATCATTACTTTCCTTATTATTTTTTTAGCCCACTTAAATTGGCATGCAAGTTCATCTGAGATAGAATATCTAAGGTACTGTCTCAAAGCAACTTTTGCATTAGGATTTCCCCACCAAATAAAATAATTTCTCTGTAAAATATTTTAAAGAGTCAGTGTGTTATATTATGCAAGTTATTATTAAAGTAGGAATTTATTAATTATCCATAAAAGATATTAAAAATATGACAAAACTTTCGAATCTGAAAAATTTTAATTTTGTGATAAATAATTGTGTAATAGTTAAAGAATTTTAAAAATATTGTATTTGTATTATCGAAAATAGCAAAACCATTTTAATATTCCGAAAAGCAAAATGCAAATTTAAAAGTATATTTATATTTAATATTTTTATATAATCAAAATAGTATAAGTAAAACATGTTGTTCCACTTACTAGTTCTCCCTGCTTTTCCTTATTTTCCTCGAACTCTTCAAATTCTTGCATATTTTTTAATGGAAAACCTTCTGGAAGCGAATATACTGGGTAAGCTCCATCGTTATTATTTGCGTTTTTGTTTCTAAAAATAATTTAGCTCAGTTTATACTCAAAATTAATATTTAAGAGGATATGAATAAATCTTGATGGATTCTACTTTACATAAACCTAAAAATCGTTTCTATTATCCATTCAAATTATCTTCTTTTTATTGTACAATTTCTTTTATCTTTTAAGATAAATTTTGATAAAAATTTATAGATTTTTAGAATAGAAAATTACGTTCATGCATACTTACACTTGTAAATTATCTAATTTTGTATTGAAGTAGGTTTTCAGTTCATCTATTTTTTTATCAAAATAGTTTTGCATATTGTTAATTTTGTTCAAAATATTTTGTTCCTGAGTTTCGCAAAACGTATGCATTTTCTCCTGAAATTTTTGGAAGAATATTTCTTGCGATGCGCTCAAGTCTTGCAATGTCTTTAAGTTATTTAAATTGACATTTTCAGGATTTTCATAACTTATATGACCATAATTATGATTGTGAGAATTGTAGAATTGCGGAATATGTCCATGTGTAAATTATCCGGTGCGGGTTCTGTAAAAATTTGCTATTATGTAGTGTTTTATTTAATTTTATTAATTTTAATACATTGCACGTGTGAAAATATTTTACCTGAGGTATGTAATCCTTGTGTATATGTGGATGAAGCAGTATCATTAGTGTTCCAACTGTCATAATAGCTATAATTTGAAGTAACAGCTGGAGTAGATTTATTCCACATTTTAATTTGTGGGGAATTGTTTTGAACAGTACCTAGGTAAATTAATGTATAACATAATAATTTTTTTTTACATAATTGACGAATCTGAAGTTGCATTATTTTAACATATAGTGTCTAAAAATATTTTTTTGGAATACAAAAATAATTACTTGTTTCGGCAATTATCCCTGAGTTGAAATCGTAAATAGAATGATTATTTGAGGAACATATCACATCATCTCTTTGATCATAATTATTTTGTAATGTTTGTGTTGAACAACCAGGTGAGTTCAAATTATTATTTCTATGCTGTTCAAGTAGCTGTTCCGATGTTGTTTTTTTGTTTCTTTTTTTTTGTCAAGCCCGACTGGTTTAACTTGATTTTCTACTTTTTTGGAAGTTGGTCTTATTAATTTGTCTTGATTTCCTTCTTTTTTCCGAGTTAATTGTTCATTTCTTTCATATCTTTTCTTCATTTCAACATCGTTCTCACTGTCAGTAGAAAAATTAGATTCATTATCAGATGATTGACTTGATGCCTCATCTGATTCTTCAGAATTAGAATTTCTGAATACTGTTGTCATTTCTTCTAATTTTTATTATTTTTAGCCTTTTCCTTATTCGTTGGCTTATCAGAATCTGTAGTACAATACTTTTTAGGCTTTCTTATTGTACGTCTTTGTCGATTACATTTTGAACCTTTGTCAGACATTTTTTATAACGCTGCGGATCAATACGCAAATATATATATATATATATATATATATATATATATTATATACATATAGTTTTTTTAAATTTTTTAGTGGAAATAAATTTAATATAAAGTTGTGGGGATAAGAAAATAAACTATATATTGAAGGATTTACATTGACAGATTTTAAATCTATATGCAAATATGATAAAATATTTGCGATCATAAACGTGCGAATAAAACTAATTAATATAATGTAACAAAGTAGAAACAATATATTCATCAATATTTTTTTCTGATTTCTGAGTTGAAGAGAATGACCCTGACCAACTTGGCATACTATAGCACTTCGCAGTTATATAATTTATGCTGATTAATTGTAAGTCTTCTGATAACTCTTTGCATTTATAAACTCCGACAGTTGAAGATTGAATTGGCAATTTGTAAAAATTTGTAACATTTTTAAAAGTTTGTACTACAAAAAAAACATCTTCATTTATAGTCAAAATATTTTTAATTTTACAAATAAATTTATCCCGAATCTTGCAAAAACTGTTGCAATCATCTATTGTAAAATTAAATTTATTTGACTGATAATTTTTGTATTGTATAAAATTGGTATTAGCAATACATTCAGGAATAACACCATTTGTGTGTATTACTGAAAGGCGATGATTCTCAGGATGACGTTCAGGTATATGTTGTATATAATTTTTTTCTCGTAATCGATTTGCGAATTGCTGAAGTGGACGTGGATGATTTCTAATATTTTTTTTAAAAAACGGCATATTATTTTCATAAACAAATGCTGAACAATTTTCTAAATGTCCTAATTCCTTTACATCATCAACTAAATGTTGCAATCCATGAACATTGTAACTTACAAAGCTCGCTGTATAAAGATATTCTGCATGTTTAACAAACATTTGTAGACATTTCTCAGCCGTTTCTAATTGCCTTTTCGAACATTTAATTGATGTGACTATTCTCATGGCTACATTAAGTAATAGCAAGTGGAAATAAAATTCTTCAGCTAAAATTCCGAACGAAATAATTGGTGCTGCATATAAAAGAAAATGTCTTAATTCAGTTGCTTTGAATTTAGAGAATTTCGCGAGAGATCTAGGACGACGTGCAAATTCGTTTGGGCAACAACTTGTTTAACTCTACATATCGTGAAGACAATTCATTAAGCGCTGAGCTACGTAGTTTCCCTCCAAATTTGCCATCATACCACGCACTTAATAGTCTCACAGTAACACCAAGGTATACCAGATGCATAATTTCAAAAGGCACTCCTGTGACAATTGGTATTCCAAGATCTTCTAATGGACTTCTTCCTTTTTGATGATCCTCATCCACACAAGATATATATTGTTCATTTGTTCGTTTTTCATGATTGATGCCCAAGTAAACCATTCGATTCTCATGTCGGACGCCATTAACTTTACATTTAGAACACGGATTATACGAATTGTGTCCATAATGATTTAAAACTAAAGCTCTCGCTGGAGCGTCGGCAACAAAATTTTTAAACACTATAGGAATATGACGATTCCGTATTAGTATTCCTCCTAGTCCATTATTAATTTCTTTTACCTCATCAATAAAATTGTTAAAAAAGCTATATACATTGCAAGGTTTTTCAAGTCCTTTATATACACCTATAATCACCGGCTTGAAATAAGGAATATTAATGATCCTATATTGTAAAGGCCAATATTGCATAGGGTTGCTTTTACTCAATGACAAACCGTCAGTGTTAAGTTCTATTTCTAGAACAGGCGGAATTTCATCTGCAACGTAAAACGAAAGGTGCTTTTCTAATGTTTTTACAAAACCAATATGCCAATATAACCTGAGCCAATCGGTACTAAGTTAATGCGATCACGACTTGTTTTTAAAAGAGTTCTGCTATCTTGTGGTAAATTCCGAAAACATTTATGCATACAAAGTACTCTTAAAATTGCTTTACTCTGAACATGATTTATATTGTTTTCCAGGCAGCATTGTCGTAAAAGCTTTTGAAAGTTTTCTAAACAATCAATTTCGATATGAGGTTGTGAATCTTCGTGTACTATTTCTTTTTACTACATTATCATGAGCATTTGACGTTTCTGATAAAAAGTCTAAAGACGTTTCTTCAAAGTAAGTGGTGGTAGAAGGTAATCTTTTCAGTTTCATTACTTTCCAAATTTCTACAAGTCACATAAGAACGATTTCTTCAAATGAATAAGTTAAGGAATTATTACTTCTATTTG